CCCAATCCAGGTTGACCCAAGCCGAATGGCTCCGAAGCATGTGCGTTCGGACCAAACTGGTGCAAGTCAAACTGGTGTAAGGCAGACTGACTCATCCAAGGGTCGCCCAGTGGAGGGTGGCTCAAGCAGGACTCGTCCGATTCAGGCTGTCCCAATCCAGGTTGACCCAAGCCAGAATGGTTCGAAGCATGTGCGTTCGGACCAAACTGGTGCAAGTCAAACTGGTGTAAGGCAGGCTGCTTCGTCTTCGAGTGGCCCAGGGAGGAGTCAGGCAAAGGTTGAACCACAAAGTCCAAGTGTCCAGAGCGAAGCATCGGAGGAGCCACCTTACTTGGGTTTGGATCCGACGCTGTACGTCCCTAACTGCTTGGTACCATTCTGGGAAGCAAGGGCAGAACGAGAGTTCGAAGAGCTCGGCATCCAGGCTCGGACATTGCAAGCGACATGGACTGCAGCGGAGGTAGCTTCGGATGCGAAAGCGTATATCGGATCCACGCGTTACAAGTTAGTCCATGGGATGCGAATCCGGTGCTGTAAGTACCGGAGCCGTCCTGAGTCATTGCCGCAAAGCGAAGGGGCAATGGACAGGTTGTTGGCAGTATTTCCTGCCTGCACGGACTTTGTCAGTATGAGTGAGTGGTTGGTAGCACACGCAAGGTCCTTGGAGCATACCAGTTGCTACACAACAGATGCGAAGTTAATACAGCAGAGGGAGATACTGACATTGTATGAGCTGTCTCGGCGGCTGACGGGCATTCGAAAGTGTGAGGCGTGCTTACGTGCGTGGATTTCAGCAGCCTCAGAGGCGAAGCGAGATCGTAAGAATGCTCGTCGGTTGACCAGACAATTGGAGACGATCAGGAGAGAGAGCCTCTCCGACACACCGGCATCAACAGTTGGCATCAAGGACGGCCCTGGTGTGTCTTGGAGGCAATTTGAAGTCTCGTTGCGGGAAGAGGTCAACAACTGGATCCATGTGAATAAGTTCAAGTGGATTCGGACCCCGCAGAAAGACTTGTATTCAGAAGCCATTGAGCTAAGGATCGAGCTTGCGAGACGCTTCCAAATCCAACCAGGAAAGAAAGATGCGGCCGGAGAGGAGGAGGACAAGCGGCTTATTCTAGCATTCTTCGAAAAGCTGGTGACCATCAAAAACCTAGAATCGTCTAAATGCTGGGACGAATTCATGGCCGGTTGCAGAGCATCACTTATTAAAGCGCCTTTGCAAGAAGGGTTTGCAATGTTTTGTGACCAGGTGGACATCTTTCAGAAGAACCCTCCACCCACGGACTTAGTGTCTGGGTTCTTCTCCAGGAAAATGTGTATGGAACCGGGGATTCCTTTCCCAATGCCGCATATTAGGAAGAAGGCACCTCAATGCACTTGGCCAAGTGCGTACATCAAGATACCTGTCAACGATAAGGAGTATCAGTTCACTATTCGTGAGGGAATTCCCTTACCCACATTGGACGACCTGGAGGAATGGCGAAGAGTGGCAAAGTATCGTGACGACAAGTTTATGGCGACCATGGAGAAAGTCGACCTGGAATTGTCTGAAGCCCGATTGTGCAAGCTTTACGAAAAAAGCGTACAAGTTATCAAGAGAGGCTTTCACGACGATTTCCCACCGCCGCCGGCAAACGCGGCATGGGCAGGGTACGGGGATGACGTGCCGGGTTATCCTATGTCCCCACCCAAGTACCAGCGGCAGTTGGACGACACAAAGGACCAGTCGTTCTTCTGGCCCGAATGCTGGCGGCCCGTTCCAGCTAAACAACCAGATACGGTCAAAGGCACTGAGAAAGTCGAAAACGAGTGCACATGGGCAGATCAAATGAGAAAGGATCTGAACTATGATCCAGTTCATGATCCGATCTTTCCAGATGAACCCTGCCGCACACAGGTTCGACTAGGAGAAAAACATAGGCAAATCACGGAGGCTCTCAGCTTGGAGACCTTGCCGGATAACTCGCGAGAGTTTCCGACAGAACCTCCATGCACGGGAGCCGCCTATCCAGACGAACTGCCTCAAGTGGCGCCGCAAACGCCGCCTGCCGGCGCTATTATAGGAGGACTCAGGTCTTACGAACGTATCCCAAACTTCGTTAATTTGGACATCAGTGATATCAATTTAAGCGACGAAGATATATTTGCAAACCTGCGTGACCTGCCCAAAACAGCTCTGATAAATGCGCTTATGAAGAAGCATGGAGAAATTAGGCGCATACAGGGTGAACTTGCCTCAAGAATGTGTCCATTGGCAGACATGGCAGAACACGTTGTGGCGAGTGTACAAGTCACGGGTGAACGTGTCTGCCGGAACTTGCAGGACGCAGTCTTCCGGCTTCAACGAGGGTGCAGCAAGAAAGAGCTTCTTGCCGAGCAGTCCCTTCACCGACAAAACTAGTTCGCAAAACTAGTTCGCACCTCCCGTGTCGTTGTTAGAAGAGGAGCATGCGGCACCCAATTGGATATCAAGATAACAACCAACCGGATATCAACCTCCTCTTAGGCAGGATTCAGTTCGGCAGTATCTGAGAACTTGATGGATGGTAGCTTCAACGCAAGTTGGTGCCACCATTCGGCGCGAGCTTCCCGGAACTGGCGGATAGGGGATCGCCAACCTGCCCGGCCCAAGACATTGTCCACGACGTGACCATCAATCAATGCTGGGCCGGGTCCGTCTCCCGGCTGCGGACCACACAGCAAGGATCTGCCAGGTGCTTGTGTGGTCGGTCCGCAGTCGGATCCACTAAACACAACACCGTGTCGCTGCTAGGAGAGAAGCATGTGGCACGCACCATGACATCTATCTCTTCAGATTCGGTGCTGCAGTATTTGGCGGCTGGCTGCAGCATCCTGACTCACACTCTTCACGACATCAACAACTGGCTCGAATCACTCATCAACCGGATCAGCCGGCCGGCCTGGACCCACAACCCCAACTATCAGCCTTACTGTGAGAGATCATTTGAGGCTGGTAGATATGAATACGCCGTAATGGTAACCAGGTCGCGCTCCAAGTGTCCTGCATTGAGCCATACCACCTAACATCGTGTCATGATTTGGACATCCCCAATAATCCATCAATTTCAATGGACCAATCGAACGATCAATCGAACGATCAATCGAACGATCAATCGAACGATCAAACACACTAGTGGCGAAGCCACACAACCTCTAATCGAACAACCAATGTTCATTGGACGGATGGACAACAACACACTGCCTTTATCATTGCACCTTACGACCATCCACTCACTGATTTCCTGGATCCGCCACCGCGACTACGACCCTCAGCTGGAACCATCCATCACAACCAACTGAAGCTACTACAACCACCACACATCCATCACAACCAACTGAAGCTACTACAACCACCACACATCCATCACAACCAACTGAAGCTACTACAACCACCACACATCCATCACAACCAACTGAAGCTACTACAACCACCACACATCCATCACAACCAGCTCTAACCAGAGCCACTACTCGGTTTCAGGAAATAGCAACTGTAAAAAGATCCAAATTGTTTTTACCACACCACTATAACTCCAAAAAGAATTCGACAATTTGATCATGCGCTTTGTTGTCTATTTATTCAAGTCAACAACGATGTATGTCATCGATTCACACAATCAGTTTGTTCATGCAGCAACCCAAGTTCGGTGATGGTCTATTGACCATCACCGGTCATCAATTTTTCAGAGGTTTGAGCAAATCTTCAATTGCGCTCTTTCTGTCGTTATGCTCAAGCACGGCCCTTCCCGTCACAAACATTCTAGCGCCCGCATCATAGCATGACCTTATTGTTTTTGGGTTAATATCACCCTCAACCTCAATTGTGACATTTGGGTATTTTTGATGCAGCAGCCTGACCTTCTCAAGCATTTCTGGCATGAAAGATTGACCTCCGAAGCCAGGTTCAACTGTCATTATAAGAACCCCGTCGAGCAAATCTTGGTCCAACAGAGGATAAATCTTTTCTAGGGGCGTCTTTGGTTTTATACTTATTGAGCTTTTCATTCCTAGCGCTCGGATTGAGCGGCACAAATCCGTAGCAACACCAACATCTTCGCCAACTGCTTCGTAATGAAAAGTAAACTGGTCACAGGCCCCTGCCAGCGTTTGCAACCATTTAGATGGCTCCTTGGTCATTAAATGGCAGTCTAACTTAACCTCCTTGAACGAGCGACGGATCGATTGAATCACACCCGGTCCTATGGATATGTCAGGTACAAAATGACCGTCCTAACAAGGGCATATTACTTGCACACATGTGCGTATATGACAACCAGCACGATACACACAGATGGGCACACAGATGGGCAATCAGTACCTGTGCCGAGTCCTCCTCTTATAAAGCACTTACCATAATGTCGATATGAAGCCATTCGACCTGAGGGACCACTGTTCGAATCTCACTTTCTAGCTGAGTGAGGTCGGCACTCAAGATGCACGGCGCAATGATGGGGTCCATTTTATTTCAAGCACAGGAAAAAACCACCTTACTGCGAAGGATAATCCCAGGCTGGCAGATATGAATAAGCCAGGTCGCTCCAAATGTCCTGCCTTGAGCCTAACATCATGTGGTGACTTGGACATCCACAATAATCCATCGTCCACAATAATCCATCGTCCACTCACTGATTTTCTGGGTTCGCCACGATGACTATGACCCTCTGCTAGAACCACAATCGAACGACACTTCAACTAGGACCATCGCTTTTCATTAGATCGGGTCTCCGAAAATTCCGGATATACAAAAATCCAAACGTCCTTAGCGATTCGTGCAGCAGCCCAAGTACTAGTTTTCATGGCGGAGTGGTTTGAGGAGGTTTTCAATGGCGCTTGTTCTATCGGGATGTTTGAATATAGCGCTTCCCGCCACGAACATTCTAGCGCCCGCATCATAGCATGACCTTATTGTTTTTGGGTTAATGCCGCCATCTACCTCAATTGTGACGTTTGGGTATTTTTGATGCAGTCGCTTGACCTTCTCAAGCATTTCTGGCATGAAAGATTGACCTCCGAAGCCAGGTTCAACTGTCATTATAAGAACCCCGTCGAGCAAATCTTGGTCCAACAGAGGATAAATCTTTTCTAGGGGCGTCTTTGGTTTTATACTTATTGAGCTTTTCATTCCTAGCGCTCGGATTGAGCGGCACAAATCCATAGCAACACCAACATCTTCGCCAACTGCTTCGTAATGAAAAGTAAACAGGTTGCATGCCCCTAACAGTGGTTTCAACCATTTAGATGGCTCACTCGTCATTAAATGACAGTCCAACTTTACATCATTGAATGACTTACGGATCGCCTGAGCCACACACGGTCCTATGGATATGTTGGGCACAAAATCACCGTCCTAACAAGGGCATATAATTCATTATCATTGGCCCATACATAGTGGATGAAACAGGTGTACTTACCATAATGTCAATGTGAAGCCATTGGACCTGAGGGACGACAGTTTCAATCTCGGTCTTTAGTTTGGCAAAATCGGAATTCAAGATGGATGGCGCGATGATAGGGTCCATTTTATTTGGGTGATTTTCAAATGGAGAAAAAAAGAGTTGTTGGTTTAAGCAGCACACGTAAGACTACGGCATGCCAGTTGGGCGGCGAAAGCTCTTTGTGATTGGGAGACCCTGTCTCCAAGGGATAAAGCTATACCTTGTGTCCGTGACCTGATGCGAGTAGTTCCGACAATTTTTTTGTTTTGGAGTTCCAGAGAAAGATTGACCAGTGCATCCTCTCCGAAGATTGATCGAGTGCAGAAATTGACAGCAAAGACTCCGTTGGAAGCCATGAGTCTGATGGCTTCATTATCGAGTATTTCTTTAATATATTTATTGTTACGTTTTTGGTTAAGACTATTGATCAATAGCTCGTAATCACCTTTAATTCCAACAATGGTCATTCTGGATTGTTTCAGTAGCATCTCCAGAAAGGTTAGACAGTCCTTACTGGAATCATTACATGGTACTGATATTGCGATTTTGTTCTCCCATTCGAATTCGGTCCAAAGCCTTCTGAAGGTTGTATTACCAATCCAGGATGTTTCCAGGCAGTCTAACAAATCCACTTGAAGTTCTGATAGAGGAAAATGATTCTTTTCAATGGCCCTTTCATATACACAAAAGCCGAACATTAGGCCAGCTTCAGTACTTGACAATCGAATGGTGGCAGATATCATTCCGCTCTCTCCAGGCTGAAGATGAATGGACTTGGGTACATCCAATATTTTTAGATCTCCATGGGTCCCTAAATTTACCGTAGCATTACCCAACGTTTCATCTGTCTGATTATGTAGCAACATATCACATATCAAATCCAAATGATTCATCCGTATATAAGCTTCAACATATATCGGATCACTATATCCAGATAGAGGAATCGCTTTTCCATAACCACCTAGGCTTGTACCCAGGCTTGTACCCAGGCTTGTACTCAACGACTGCTTACCCTGCAAACTTGCCTGCTTACTAGCTCCTGGATTAAACTGATTCAAACCATCATAAGATTGGAAAAATACAATCTCATCACTCAACTCATTATCCACTACTACATCTTCTCCTACAGTCATCACACATCTCATATCCTCCAATCGATCCGTTTCTCTCTCACCCATAACCAGTTCTATTAAACTCTCATCCATTCCACGACATATCTTCTCACATTCTTTACCGCATCGGCATAACACATTCAACACTTTACCCAATCTCTTCTCTATCAAATTCTTTTTCCCCAACTCACCGTTTTGCTGGGATAACTTGTATAATGACGCTACTATCAGAACACTCTGATGAAATAACTCCGGTCTGAAAAACAATTATACCATTCACCTAATGATGATATCATTCACCTAATGATGATATCATTCACCTGATGGCGTGTATAGATTTACTCAGTTTCGAAAACTTCCGGATTGGAGAGTACAATTTTACAGACGGCGAGTCCAATGATTGATAGTAAGTTTGTATTTTCAAGATCGCTAATAATGCTTTTACGGAGTCCAGTTGTTTTGCCTTCATCCACGAGAATGTTTTCGGTTCCATAACTGCCATCCGGTAGGATGACTGTTTTGACAACGACTTTGGGGGAGTCTGTTTGTTCTGTTGAGTTACCATGTAGATCGGGGAATGGTAATGGGCTAAGTGCATCGATTAATTTGTGAATGAATAACGCGGCGCTACGTGTGCTGCGCGCGAATTCTCCTACCAGATAAACACACTGTTCTACTGTGTCTGCATGAACTTCTCGTTCAACCAAACAATCCGTAAGACGACATACAATGTTCTCACGACTCTGCTCCGAAATTTTTGAACAAACTATCAACTCTCGCACTAAGGATATTACCTCTGAACTTTGATGCTCCGATAAATAATCCAACAACAAATCAATCACGCCCAAAGCTACAGCAGGATACCGCCCACATAACTGACGCATTCCTTTCAGCAATAAACCCTTCTTCGATCCACTCAATAACTGCCCCTTTAGAATCTCCAATGCGCTACTCACTGTCGCCACCGTCACGTGGGGCACCGCCAAGGTAATGGCCTTGTCAGTCAAATCCGTAGAAGACGATTCAATCGCTACAATGAATAGATGCATGGTGTATAAACATAGATGGTGTATAAACATAGATGGTGTATAAACATAGATGGTGTCTTGTGTGCACACACATGGCGGCAGTGCTGGTTACTTCGTAAGACGTCGATTGCAATGTGTTCAATAACTTCTGGTTGAGAGGATTCGATTTGAGCGAGGAGAGATAGTACATGGTGTTTGACGTCTTGGTTGGTGTGCGTGTTGAGTATATCAACACACGCTTTGGCAGCAGCAAAGAGATCTTCAGGTTTAGATGAGAGCCAGACTATAGCCTTGATTGCACTGAGTCTGACGGCATTCGATCCGGTGCTTTCGAGTATATCTCGGAGGCGGAGTAGGAGGCAATTTTTATCGATGAGTTTGACGAGTTCAATTCGAGGTGGGAAGGCCTTAGTTTTTTCCCAACAGAGGGTGATGAGCTCTATGAGGGCCACATAATAAACGTCAGGATTCACCGTAATATTTTTGTTCTTTTGGTCCGCTATAAACTTTTCATAAGCCGTTTCCACGCTCAAGACACTTACAGCTCGCATAGCATGCTGCTGTGCTGACTTATCATCATCATACAACGCCATATTGATCAACGTCGGTATAGCATCATCAAACACACCTGGAAACCGCGAGCCTAACGATGCTATACATAGACAACAATTACGCCGAACATAGCCGTGACTATGCGCCAAGTTCTCCAAAATGACCTCATCAACTGTACGCAAAATCTCAGAACTGAAAATTTTCGACAAGTTACGAAGACAAGCACCTCGTACATACTCATTCGGACTCTGCAATTCATTACGAATCAACTGTGATATCAACAATGTTAACGACGAATCTTGGTCAGGTAAACATTCCCAAAATAAATGCGTTAACTTAATCAAACGATGATCACGAGAGTAACCACTAACAAACTTTATGACCGACATCAGACATGATGATGCATGATCCGGCTGACTGTAACTCCGCAATAACTCCTCCATCATCTACAACAAAGCGTCTCATACCTTCGGGTCGGGCCGGAGTCCATACCTTCGGGTCGGGCCGGAGTCCATACCTTCGGGTCGGGCCGGAGTCCATACCTTCGGGTCGGAGTCCGGAGTCCATACCTTCGGGTCGGGC